ATAGCTTGTTTCATTACATTGATTATTATCCCCTCCATATATCATCAGTTAACAGTGTTTCTATCCTCTTTAGCTTTTTTTTTTTTTTTGGATGGGGGGGACTTGCCTTTTTGGAATTTAGTCTCGGCTTTTGACTGGTACACTTTCGAGAAGTTGACTCAAGCCCCTAACTCTCTCATGAACTGTTCCTAACATCCTGAAGAGCCTAAGCATTTGCTCATCATCTCAATGGCAGACACTGTCAGTTTCCTATGCAATATTCTTCCTTGCTAAAAGGACCCCAATTTTATTCACTGATGAGTGATCACGTATGTCACAGAAGCCTGGAGCCCTGGGGTTGCATCTTCATTAGTAACCCACGCTTCACAGCATTCTCCTTTGTAATGATTGGTTACAGAATCAGGCAGTGATGGCAGTCTGGCTAGGGAGACAGGAGGGAATCTGCTGTGCAAGCTTTCTTTGCTCTTAAAACAAGACACACACACAGAAAAGAGCATTTCTTCTGTACCTCTAGTGCCTGGAATTGTGGCAGGAATACCAGGATGGGGTACACCAGCCTAAATGGAGAGCAGAGTGGACAGGAAGACTCTCATCAGTGCCACTGTCAAGTCACTAAATTCAGCAGCCCAGGCACTTCCACCTCTCGGCTTATTTTGTAAGAAGAGTAAAATGTCTTTACTGTTGGGAAGAGAGATTTCTGCTACTTGTAAATAATCTGATGCACTTCCCTTTTACTGGAATAACATAACCTATCTTAAATAGTACACATACTTTTTACAACTCACTCTTGCATGACTACAAACTTCACCTCCCCCACAAATCCATGCCCCTTGAATGTAATCTCTGTCTGGTACACCATCCTCCACAGCACTGCCCTTCACTTCAAGGCCCAGGCCAGAGTCTATCTTCTACAACAGGGGTGGGAATGCCAGGCCTGTGAAATCGTTTGGTCTGGCCATACACCAAGGCAACTGTAGTTCCAGCCATCACATTAAGGGTGAGTTAATTAAATGTTTGACCAAATATAGCAGGCTAATTTTTAGGTTGCTTTGGTAGAGTAGTGGCTACAAAGCAGGCTGCTAACCTCAAGGCCGGCAGTTTGAAACTACCAGCTGTTCCGTGGGAGAAAGATGAGGCTTCTTGCTCCTGTAAAGATTAACAGCCTCGGAAACACTATGCAGGGTCACTATGAGTCAGAACCGACCCTACAGTACTTAACAACAACAACAACAATTTTGTATGGCCCACGAATGATGTTATAAATATCCAAATGGCCATTGGCAGAAAAAAGGTTTCCCATTCCTGTCCTATAAGAAGTTTCTATTATTAATCCATGCCCATGTAAACACTGGGGTGCTGGTGAGGCACTGTAGGATAAGCACTGCAGGGTCGGTTAGAACCACAAGGTCAGTGGTCCAAGTTCATCAACTGCTCCTTGGAAACACTATACATGGTCGCTGTGTATCAGAATCGACTTGATGGGACTTAACAACATATGAACGCTAGGAATCCTGGTGTGGCACTGCAAGTAATATGCTGGACTGATGGTCGGTTTGAACTGCAAAGTTGGAGGGTCAAACTCACCAGCCACTCCTCAGAAACCCTATATAGGGTCGCTATGAGCCAAAACCAACTCGACGGCACTTAACAACAATAACATATTAACAATAGCATGTAGCATTTACTGTCTCTTAGTCCATCTGTTTTTTGTTGATTTGGTGTCTCCCTATCAGTAATTACCACTTTGAGCACATGGCTGTTGTTAAGTGACGTTGAGTCCGTTCTGACTCATAGCCACGATGTATAGGGTTTCCACGGAGTAGCTGGTGGATCTGAACTGCCAACTCTGTGGTTCACAGTCCAGTGTTGATCCTATAGTGCCACATATAGTAGGTACGTAATTTACAGTGACTGACTGACTGAAAAATATATTAATCAAGGAATGCAAAGTACTGTTTTCCTTCACCTAAAACTTGGGCTTTTCCTTTCACCTTTTCATCCTTGTCTTTCTTCATATTACTTCTCTGTAGGTTAAATTACCAAAATTGAGATAAAAGAAATTCAGAGCTCAGACTCTGAAATACGGTTAAGTATTTCTAAAGACAGCAACAGTGGCATGCCGCACCTTTCTAGGAGTTACAGGTAAGTGAAACAACGGTGATAGTTTGGGGGGACAACAGCACAAATCACACTCTATCTTTATACACAGAAGTACTTGGCTGCTAACTAAAAGGTCAATGGCTAGAACGCACCTGCAGCTCTTCAGGAGAAAGACGTGGCAGTCTGCATCCATAAAGATTTAAGGAAACCTGATGGGACGGTTTTATTGCCTTCTGTAGTGTAGCTCTCTATGAGTGAGAATTGACTGTACAGCAAGAGATTGTGTTTCTTTGTAACATGTTAAGGAACCCTGGTGGCACAGTGGTTAAGCAATCTACAGCTAACCAAAAGGTGAGGACTTGAACTTACCAGCTGCTCCATGGACCAAAGGATGTGAGAGTCTGCTTCTGTAAAGATGACAACCTTGGAAATCTTATGGGGCGGTTCTACTGTTCTGTAGGGTCACGATGAGTTGGAATCAACAGCGAAGGGTTATAAGACAAGAACTCATTCCACTGTGGAAACTGGTAGGTTTGGGGTACATCCATAACAAATCACTAGCTACAACAGAAAATATAGTAAAGCCTAGCGTATAATTGTAGTTGTTGTTGTTGTTAGGTGTCGTCGAGTTGGTTCTCTGTATAGCGACCCTGTATAGGGTTTCCGAGGAGCAGCTGGTGAGCTTGAACTGCCGACCCTGAGGTTCAAAATGACTTTGCAGTCCAGAACATTAACCCACTGCACCACACCAGGACTCCATATAATAGGCATTCAATAAACGTTTCATGAGTGATTAAGAGAAAACATAGCATCCTATAGTTAAGGCTTTGGGCTTATATCTTCACATGATTCATTATGATCAAAACAGAATGAAATGTGGATACCAGTAGCAATACCTCTGTCTTGATGTAATGAACTTCTCAGAATGTGCTGACACAAGAACATTTAATCTAATATGGCCATCAAGCATTTTGGAAACAAAATATGAAATCTTAGGTTATTTTTGTTTATATTTTAAGACCCCTGTAGTTATTTGTGAAAGTTCAAAACAGAGGATCAGCAGCAGGAGATCTCCAGACCATGTGCAGAAAGGACTCCTCCTGAACATGCAACTGCATGTCAGATCGTGCTTCTTGGCCTCCATGTGACAAGCCTTGGCGCCGTACGTCTTAGGGTACGACAGAAACAGCATTGGCAAAGATCATGGTCCAGTGTGGGGACTGGCTCTTACCCCTGAAGGTACGTAAATACAATTCTAGTAAGCTTTGTACTTACTCCAGACATGAAAATTTAGTATAACTTTCATTAGGTAATATCAATCCAACACTAGAGACTTCTGCAAGACCTTTTATATTATACAATAAAGTAAAAATTGTGGTAAATGTTCAGATATTTAAATGAGCACCAAACACTACAAAGTACAACCAACATGGTTCTATTAAAAACTCTCTTTAACTGTGGCATTCAAGAATAGCAATACAATATTTTTTCTTTACATATAAACTAATATAAAAATTGCAAATGCCATAAATTCATCTTTAGGCTACTGTTCTCCTATAGGCATGTAATTAGACTTTCTTTTAATTCTTTCCTGAGGTATTTTTTCTTTTTATGGTTACTTTTATTGTACTGCTAGATGTGTTATCTTTGATCATCCTTCCCTAAAATGATTTTTGAAGACCTGCAAAATATTTTATTGCATAGGACACTATCCATGACACAGAGATTAGGAACTGCAAAACATGTGGCATTAGAACAAGTCTTACAAATGTGCATTTTAACAATCTGTTACATTCTTTTTTTTGTTGTTTTTTACAGTTTGTCTCTTTTTAAAAAAATAGAAGCTACAGTTAACAGTCAACTAAGTACAGTGAAGCATTTTAGGAATGTTAGAGATTAGAGAATACGATGAATGATACAAAAGGAAAAAAAGCCACAATTCTTGCCGGCTATATAATGTATTGCCTTCAAAAGCAACTGTACATGTTGTAATCAATTCATAGTTAAAAATTTCTACTAATCTGTTTTGGGAGAGCAAATGTCTTCCAAGGTTTCAAGTTCCTCTATAAGCTTCTTGTTCTGAACTTCCAGCACTGCAACTCGACTCTCCAGACATTTTACATATTCTTTCTTTCCACGTCGACATTCTTTTGCAGCTTCCCTGAAAAAAGTAGAAGCAAAAGGGCAAACAAAACATTTTGTGCATGCTATTGACAAACAGATTGAAGTAAGCTTGGTAAATGTGATCATGGTTGCATTCCAAATCTTGGAACAACATTCCCAATTCAATTTCAAACACTAAGCCAAACTGGATTCTTAAGGGTCACAAGTGTCCCTTCCAAAAGTCCACATGGCAATTAGTAGAATTACTGCATCTCCTGCCTTGATTAGAGTTCATAGTAAACAAGGTCCAAGCTAAAGACAGTTACTCTGCTTTATGGCAATAAAGATCTTTGAGGGCCTTGAGTTCCTCAATGAGAGTCTTGTTTTGGTTTTCAAGCACAGCCACACGATTTTCAAGACATTTGACATATTCTTTCTTCTTCCTGCGACACTCCCGGGCAGCTTCCCTGGAACCAACACAAGGCAAATGACTACAGGAACAACTCCCAGCACAGTCCAGAGTGGCTCAATGAACTTCTGTCCCCACCCGAAGGCAACAGCCATAACCAAACACATGACTTTTTGTAAGACACCAGGAACATGTTGTGAGCACAGTTTGCCCAGAATTCATCTCAAATGGTATTTTCTCAGTGCACATATTCCTAACAATGGCCAGATCAATCAACTGTGTTCAGCAATCCAAAAGAGTAAGAACACAGCCCCAAGTAGAATGTCTACAAAAACATTTAGAGATCCTTTCAGTTTAAATTATTTTTATCCTTTAAATTATTTTTGTCTAATAAAAGCTACATAATTCCATTACAATGAATTCAACTGTAGTTGATGAAAAGATGACCAGAAGGCTTAATCCTCAGAAAGCATAAATGTCAATATTGGAGACTTTTATTGTTCTGACTAAATCTCAATAAAACAAACAGGATCAGTCATTACTATAGGAAACAGTTTACTGACCAGAAAATGCACCACATATGAATATAACAAGCAATAAAAAAGGCAAATTTTCATAAGCCCAAATAAAGTGGACATTGGTTCTGAATTGAAAGAAAGAGAAGGCAGGCACACACACAATACAATACAATAATACAGATAATACAAACCCAAATTGAAATAATGAAAAGGAAGTTACTGAAGAACACAAAAGTATATTTCAAGATGATTCTCTAATGGCGTACATTTAACATCAAACACATGGAATTTTAAAGCACTGTAGGTAAACCCCAAACAAAGAACACAACAGCAGCCAAAGTAACAAACACAAATACATGGATGAGTTGAGTTAGTAATTTTCATGCAGAACACCACTAAAAAGACAGTGAATGAATATAGCCAACATTTTTCCTTGCCTATTGGGGGAGGGAGGGTGGTGGCAGCTACTTCAATGAACTCCTCCCTCAAACAAACCCTCTGATAACAGCTTTATTTTGGAGTATTCAAGAGTAACTTTCTTTGGGGGTGCACTGGTTACCAATCACTAGCTAAAGCCATCAAAAAAGTCCACAATGAAATAGACAGTGTAATTCAACTTTATGCTTTAACAAAAATAGTATTGTGTTTCTACAGTAACCGGTTACTATAATGCCAGTTAGCATTGCTGCAATCCTGAACCAAGGAGGAAACATACAACAGATTTGGCTAATTCTTTTATTTTTAGGATGGGTGACTCCCACTACCAACTGGATGTTTTCTATATAGGAAAGCAGAAAGAGACCTTGAAATCCTTATGAACTGCAGGAAAAGATCAACCCTTACACGTCCAGGACAAGAACAATACATTCGCCCTGTGAGCTTTGCAACTAACAAAAACAAAATAGAGGTGAATAACTAAATCTAATAAAAAGACCGATTAAGCTACAGGATGCATGGGGAAAAGTTAACAATAAACTCTAGCACATTTCTAATTTGCCAATTTGGGAAGATAATAAATTCTCTTCTACAACTAAAATTCACGTATGAGTATCAAGTCTTTCATGATTAATCATTACAATAAATGCTAAAGAGTAAAAGAAGGTAGTCATTTTACCAAAAAGTTTCCATTAGATGAAGTTTTAAATATCTAATACAGTATGATAAGGTGGTTAACTTTTAAATTTTTATTTTCCCAACTGATTACTGTAAACATCCTTAATTCTTAATTTAAACATTTGTGTGTGTGCGTGTGCATGGGCATGTGACTAGGGTCAAAATGTTGTAAGTACACAGATTTAGTGATCATTCCACTACATGGAAACTTTCCTAAATAATGCTCAGCTATGGAAAACACCTGTCTCTTCTATTAATAGCTCAATATTCAGGCCTAGCGCTTGTCTGGACATATTCTCAGCATGGAAAGAGGAAAAGCTGAGATGGCCATTAAGAAATAAAAATTGTTACTGGATTGGTAGGGGTATAATGAGGTATCTATCATAAATGTCAGCCAATGAATAAGAGAGGTACATACATAACAGGCTTTTAGCAGCATTATTAAGAAAAACATAAATACTTGCCATGAAGTTAAATCTGAAGCTTACATGCAGACCTATTGTGAGGTGACTTTCGTAATACTGCAGTGGCCAGGTTCTGGAATAAAGATTGCTTGATTGCATATCTTAGCTCTGTTCAGTTTAGACTATGTGATCTTAAGCAACTTATTCCTTAAAACTCTCTAAACCTCAGTTCCTCATCTGTAAAGCAGGACCTATTCTCATATGAGATTTAAAGGCACCATAAAAAATAAACACTTAAAACTTGCAAACAGTAACTACTCAAGAGATATTAAGCAACCTAGTTGCCATTTACAATCTACTTTTCTCTTGTTCTGCTCTGAACTCAAGATCAGAAAGGTAAAATATACCTTCTAGGTATCCCTAGGGACTAGAGAACTAGTCCAAGCCAATGAAATGTAGGTGAAAGGCGCTGGGAGGACAGATTTTCTGAAGGGCCAGACTCAGCCAGTGGCAACTTACAGCTCTAGTCTTTCACCTTTCTTCTGGTGTGATGCAATGTCTGGAGATGTAGCAGCCATGCTGTGATCATAGGAATGAATAGCACATGCTGAAGAAGCCAGAGCAGGAAGAGGGGAACCTGGAACCCTGATGACAACATTGAGCCTCTGTTCTGACTACACCTACTGCTAGACCAGCTATGACCAAAAAACTATGTACAAATTGTAGCCTGTAATTTCTAGACTTCTGGTTATTTGTAGCTAAAATAAAATTAATATAAATAAACTTATTGGTAGTCTATTACTTTTTTCAAATCTCAAATGCTATCTGTAGTTTACAGGAACCCACTGCCTAATATGTTATCTATTTCATTCTGGTAGTTCTACTGACAAAAATTTTTAAATATGAGTGGAGAAAAATAACAAAAGGGAAATAAGAGAGCTACTTCCAAGATCTTCCTTTTCATTTTCATTGGGAGAATAAGACATCAGTGAGCAATTTTACAGTTTTCATGACTGTCACATTTTATATTTGTAAACTGAACTTCACAGTGTACGTTCTATAACCAGAGAGGCAATTAAATTAATTGCCCGTGAGGTTTCTTATAGTGCCATTTGAAAGTACTCATATGCTTCCATCTGATGAAACTTTGGTATCAAGATTTATATAAAACTACTAAGACACTGTGTGCGCTCCACCCTTTCAGCCCTTCAGGAATTCGGAGCACCGTACTGACAATGAAGAGTATGAATCTAGCAAAGCTTAGAGAACACAGAACAGCTGCTGATAAAGATGTGTATATCTTAAAGATGGTTTGTGATCTAATAAGCTTGGATAAGACAGTCAGCTTAAGAATTCCTCTAACATACCAAATTGTGACCTCAGCAAGCTGAATATAGCTCCTTCTGGTTCCTACTTCGTTAAAAAGGGAAGGGATGAAATCAACAATCATGTCTAAATTTCAGAGACTCAAAGGCCACAATTTCTAGATTAACAAGGGTGCTTGTCATTGTCATTGTTAAGTATTGTGAAGTCAGTTCCAACTCACAGAGATCCTTTTAGGGTTTCTGAGGAGCAACTGGTCGGTTTGAACTGCTGACCTCGTAGTTTGCAGTCCAGGGCGATTCTACAGTGTCACCCCAGGAGTTCAACCAATTGATTGCTACCTGGTGGTCGCGATCACAGACAAGCCCACCATCCCATCTGATTTTTTTTGTCTTCTTGCACTGATACTATTTAACATTTAGAAATACGGTGGTCAGACTGCTAGTGAAACTTAGACCAATTCTGTTCATTTTGAAAATCAGATTAATTTGCACTTATTCACCATAATAAAAACTAAATCAAGAAATAACTTGCAAGTCAAATTTTAAAAAAAGAATTTCAAAAAACAGAATATTTTGTAATATACTATGGTTTTAAACAATACAACTACATAGATATGGAGTAAGAAGGAGAGAGAAATGAGGGAGAACAGACTGGAAATATATACACTATAAGAGCTTAATTTATACTTACTTTGCGCATCAAGAGTTAAAAGGTTATATTTATTAACTACATCTCAACATAAGTATGATATACAAAATAAATATTTGTAACAAAGTCCTTTCATCATCATTTAAAAAAGAATTCCTGTAATTACTGGATATTAATTACACTTACAACAAACAATAGTGTCCTTTCTGCTGATGAAATATATAGAGTTTAATGGCTAAGAACCCAACTAGTTAACATCACATGTTGAGCAAAAATAAACCTATGTAAAATGTTACATAACACTTCCCATGGAAGAAATAGCTTAGGAAAAGCTGAATCTTTTTAAAAACAGTATTGTAGTCTGTGTCCTATAACTGGTTGCTGATTTCGAGTGAGAAAGTGTACCTGTTCTTCATTAGCCTCAGCTCTCGTTTGCGTGTTGCTTCTTCTGCTAGCTGCTGGGGACTGTGCAAGCTCCCTGGTGAAGTAGCCATCACTACTCCCTGTGGCAAGGCCGTAGTAGGCGCTCGGATCTGGTAAGTTGGCATGTCACCAGTGGCGGCTGCAATGAAATAAAATATTACAAGCGTATATAAATAATTGACAATTTGATGTTTGACATAACACTGACCTGGAAGTAACATAATTCTTTTGGATGACCTAAGAGGTGATCTTGTTCATGTTTAGATCAATATACTGAAGCGTTATAGCAATCTGAGGTAGCACAGATCACCAGTACTGGGAACAATGACATTCAGTATGCTCTACACATGTAAAGTAGAAAAATGACCAAAGTCCTTTTGGCTTTTATCAAAGACTAGAAGTAGAGGATTTTCAGCTGGAAGTTCATTTAGTTTAAAATCAGTGGTGAGCTGATCAATGTTTAACAGCCAGCTCTCTGGGAGGAAAAGACCCCATCTGTAGCAGATGCCACTTTTCCATGGCCAATTTCCAGGTACCAATGTGGTGTCACTAACTGTACAGCTGGGAAGAGATGTGCGTTAAGTAGCACACCATGCAGACGAGAGAGGAGTAACCTCAAGAGTATAGAGGAAACAATTAGAAAACAGGACTTTTATGTATCTGTTAATGTGTTTTTTAGTGTAATTTATTTGTTAAGCAGACCTGTTCAATTTTTAATAATGACTGTTTTACCCACCAAGCTTACAAAGATCCTGAAAATGTAACCATCGGTTCTAGCATGCCAGTAGGAACTGGCTATAACACGCCACTGAAAAACATTCAAGTAAGCAGAGCATCTTCATTCTTGGAATATTCTAGTTAAGAGATTTTCCAATAGCCTAAATTGTGTCTCAACCAGTTCCTGAATCTCTTCAAGGTCAAACCCATTCCAAGAAAATGACTGAGGCACTGGAAGGCATCTAGCTTACTAGATTTTCAGGCAAAAACAAAACCAAAAATTAAACACCAAAGTTCTCCTTAAAGCTGGTTTCTCTGAAGAAAGGTAATTTTTGTTTTCCTTAGGTTTCTTGGGACACTAATACATTCCTATGTATTCATTTAAAAAAAATGTTTCTTCAAATTATTGTATAAATCATACAGCTAAAATATTTTATTTGTATTCAATTTGAATTAAGTGCTAAATGTGTTTTAGCTGTATACATCGGGAAAAAATCTTTTAGTATTCAAATTGAATACAAAATATAAGTATTTACAATTTCTTAATTTATATTCAAAATTTGTCAATCTACTGCAATAAAAAGAGCTTCCTTGAAGAGACAGATAGGTTTGAGTAATGGAATGGTTCAACTGCCAACACTTCAACTTTGAGAACTTACTGTCCAGTTTAATTTGACACTCTAATGAGATACTACATTAAACTCTCTCAAAGCTAAATGTAAGAAAAAGGTATATAATATATGTATACACACACACATACACACATATAGGGTTGCTATGAGTTGGCACCGACTTGATGGCACTTGACAACAACACACATATGTTATTACAACCTATAAAAACCGGTCTGAATCAAATGCTAATTAAAATATGAAAGACAGCATCATTTCATGAGTAAGACATGAAATTTTACCCAAATGGGAGGCAAAATCATTTTCACTTAAATCGCCTAATAGTTTTTTTTTTTTTTAATTAAAGTAAAAATGAACTTTCTATATAGGCTCTATCTGGTTTATACCAGTTTTTTTTTTCCCCTGAGTGCTGAAAAATGTGGTGAAAATAAAGTAATAAGAAAGACAATAATACTAATAAAGTAAGTAACAAAAAAGATAATAAATAATCTTTGCGAAAAGATTATTTAAAGGAGGGTCCTCAGAAGATTAATAAGACCACCAACTGCTCTTTGGAAACCCTACACAGGGTCGCTATGGGTCGGGATCGACTCGATGGCTCTTAACAACAACACCTTGATAAAATTACACTTCCTCTTCCTTTCTTACTTAATTTTGAAAACAAGGGTAATAAATAGCAACTGTATGAAATACAGTGACCATCAGCAAAATTTCTATTAATGAACTTGGATACAGTTCTCAGTTTAATTTTGTGACTACTGAAAATACTGTACACGCAGATGTCTCATTACATGTTAGTTTTGAAATGGTTGGGTAGTGTTTGTATGCCACCGAGTCAGTTCTGCCTCAGAATGACCCTGTATAGGGTTTCTGAGGCTGTAAGTCTTTAATGGAGCGGAAAGCCTCATCTTTATCGAGCAGAGCGGTGGTTGATTCAAACCAAACAACTGACCCTGCAGTTAGTAGCCCAGTTTGTAACCCTCTACACTCTCAGGGCTCCTTTAGTTTTGAAATAATTAAGGCAATTTAAAAACAAAGTCATCAACTGTTAACTTATTAAGCATTTGCTTGTTAAATATCTTAATCACATTCCTATTGTTGAGTAGAGTAGTAATGTATTCTTCCTGCTTTTCTCTTTACCCACATCCAGGAAAGAAGGTTATGGGATATTAAAGGTTGAAACAGCAGAACAGCTGGAAGTTAGCAGGCTTTCTAAAATTGGAACACCCACAGTGATGAGTAAGAATTGTACATGTCACTGTGCTGACATTTGCTGGCAGCCTGCAGACCTTGGTGTCAAGCTGTTCCTTCTAATCAAAACATGACTTTACAAAGAAGTACAACAGAATTAACAGAGAGGCATACAGGGGGGCTCACCATACTCCTTCTCGCTAGTTTAAACACACTTGCTATTTTCTGTCCCAGTTAGAGCACAGTGTTTATGTGATATACAAGATAGTTTAAGAGTACAGATGGAGGGAGGAGGGGAGAGAAAAGACAGGGGTAGGTGAGAACACCTCACAGAAGAGGAATAAAGTTCATTCACTGGTCTTCTATTACTAGAAATTGTTCTAAACAACTTGTTGCCTACTTCCCAAAACTGAAACCACCTTCATGGAACTAAATTTTGGTGCCATGGAAGATAATAAAAAGAATGTACCACGGCCAGTCTAAAATAAACATTTTTAAAACATTTTCAGCAATGGCTCAGAAAAAAATATCCCACTTTAAAAGTGATAACTTGAAAGGAAATGATACATTCAGATGTATTAGTTCAAGAATGTTAGATAAAAAATTGGGCTTTATTACTGTTTTCAGACATAGCATATATTCATTTTATTTCCTCCAATAAAAATAAAAAATTGATTAATTAGCTTAAGCCAAAATAGGAATCAGTACAAATTAGTGTAAAATTTATGTAATAGGATAAATTTGTATTAATGTCTGTAATATCCCAAATAATCTTTATGATGGTATAATTCTTATGGCCACTGAATAAATATCTATTGATAAATTCCATATATTCAAATATGGTCTTATTTTTAAAGTTTATGAAAAAAGATATGGGCAAAGAGAATCTTGTTTTGATGAAATCCAAATTTTGGAAAGTTTTATTTTTTAAACAAGTTAGAAAAAGTTTATCTGAGTTAACTTCAGTTTCCAATAATATGCATGAAGTGTGAAGATCAGCTCCCTATGGTTCCCAGTTGAAAGAACCACCCTGCAATCTCTAGTATCATGTTCTTATCCTGTACTCTTATAAAGGCAAGTTCTTGTTCCAACTAACAACTAAAAGTATCCTGTTATTTTTTAGTTTAACATTTCATTGAACAAACTATCGCTAAAAATCAATGAGTCATCATTGGGGTTTAAAAATGATAGGAGAGAGATAATAAGAAAATTGTGTGTACACTGCCATGTAAATTTTGAACATGCTGGAGTTTTGCATAAGCTCCTAAGTCATTTGGAATGCATATATGAACAAAACAAGCAGTCTCATACGCACTGCCAAATTGATTCCAACTCAAAGCAACCCACGGAGCAGAGTACAGCTGTTCGCTAGGGTTTCCGAAGCTGTAAATCTTTATGGGAGCAGAAAGCCTCATCATTCTACCAAGGAACGACTGGTGGGCTGGAACTGCTGACCTTGCAGTTAGCAATTCAATGTGTAACCAACTATGCCACCAGGGCTCCTTGTCTTTCTTATGGACTTACATAATTAATGCTAAGTTTTTAAGTCTTTAACGTTAAGACATGAAAGCTTTACAAGATGTTCTGTATTTACTCAAACTGGACTTTCTTGATACTATTCCATCTAATCTAGCACTGAAGAAGCAGAAGAGTTTTAATTTTAATGTTTCAAACCTTATGTGCTAATATTTAAAAAAAAAATTAAAATATTTTGTGGGAAAAGAAAATGCCTAGAACTCTTGAGTCCAGTCATTACTTCATACCTCTCTTTGCAAGCTTTAAACACAATACAGCAGAAAAAGCATGGGATTTGGAGTCTGGGTTCTGCTTCAGCTCTGTCACTTACCAGCCATGTGACTTGGGGCAAGTTCAGTTTCCTCATCTGTAAAATGGGGATACATTATCTCATTTAATACTCACAATAAACCCTGTAATGTATGTCAAAGTGTCTAGCACAGTGCCTGGCACAATGGTAGGCATTCAGCATATGTTAGTTCCCTTCCTCTTCCCTTCCTTAAGTTCTGAAAGACAATGTTCCAAATTATGCTTATACTTTATATTAGTTAAAATAACATCCATAAATATATTTTCCCCTAGAGTTTTCCTTCTAACAAACTTGGGTAATAGAATTGTTCAAAAATATGGCTACTAAGAAACTTTTAACATTTATATTTTGTCATATTACTTCAGATCATAAATTAATTAAAGATAAAATATCCTTTTCCATATGTATAATCATTTAAAATATAATCTCAAAGGGGGAGAATCACAAGTTACCAAATTATACCAGTCTGATGAGCATGTAATAAGAAAACTAAAAACCCCACAGGTTCAAAAGTAAGCAATACCAAAAGGAGTAAGAAACCCAGCCAAACGCCGATCTTGATAACATCCAAAGTGAAACAAACTGATCAAAACCCCAAACGATGGTGATTTGATTGGGTTGTTTATATTTTGAGAGTTCTGTAGGACTGAATAAAAACGTTTTTATATATGAAGTTCCTACCTTCATATGACATTTTACAACGTGCCACTAATCCTAAATGCACTTAAGTAAGCAATAGATATAACCCGGAAGTCATACTTAGAACTTTTCTCTCTAGCTCCACGAATAAGCTACTAACTCCATTCTTGTTTTTGGTTCTCTCCATCCCTAGTACCATACCAGTACCCTAAGATCGAAATCAGACTTACAACTGCCATGTCCCATACTGCCCCAAATTCCCACTTATCCATTGTTCCTTTTTCTCTAAGAAAAAGAAATCCTACATAAAATTGACTATTTAAGCACTGACCTATAGCACTGAAATTTAAAAATTTTATTACACCATAACAAATAGACGGCATAGAATTAAGTCATTCAGTATTTCTAAGTTACGACTTGTCTGAGTCGTTGAAATAAAAACTTTTGAGTCAAAACTATATAAGATGGGAAGTTATATTTACATTTAATTAATTAAATATTAATTTAATTAATAATTATATGCTCTATTGCACTGAGTGAAGATTAATATTCTAGAGTGAAGATAAATATTCACTAATAATTCTAGTGAAGAATTAATATTAATATTCATTTTGCTCAAATACTGCTAACTCTGTATTACCAACAGTGTATGAGAAGCTCTTCGAGCTCGTCTTACATAGTAGTAACTTATGAGTACCACGTGACTGTTGAGAAGTAATGTGATAGGTAGAGCGAGACCAGATTCCGACAAGGAGGCTGAAGAATCCAAACCACTCTACACTTAATAGTTCTTTACCACTGATTCGTATTTAGTTTTATGTAAAACGAGCACCATACGTGCCTTGTGTGTATCAGTAAAGATGTATGTAAAGTTCTCCTCTTCGTGTTTTTAAATACGGTTTCCGCAGAGAGGCCCTCCCAGATACGTGACGCTCTTATTATCTGCTTTCTATTGGTCTCTCACTGTCCCTTCCCTCTTAGTTTCCTTGATAGCACTTACCACAGTTTGGATTCATGTTTATATGGACATGTAGTATTTTTTAATTTTAAGGGTTAAATAAATGCAAAGCATTACCATGATTATTTTGCTGGACTACATATCAACACAGACAAATAAAACAGCACAAAGAGAAACATTTATCTCAAACAATATTTCATTCAGTTTTTTCTTCAAAAATGGTGGGGAAATAGCATAATGCCAATCCCAGTAAATCATCTGTAGGATTTGGAGATTTACTGAAACAAGTGATTGCTTTTCATTTCTAGAACATGCTTCAAGAAGCCATTATAACCCTATCTGAACCATTCCTTCTCTTAGCAGAAATTTCCCACATAAAAATCATTTCCAGTAGTTCCTTTCACAAAAGGTACATGTATCCTTGCTATTATGCATCAAAATATTAACTAAGATATTATTTTCTAAACTTGGGATATGTTTTCAATAATTCAGAAATCCAGGCTAAATGCAACATATTAAAACTCAAAATCTAATACATGTAGTTACACTCCTAATACAATTCGGCTATGAACAATCCGCCTATGAATAATTGTTTAACAAAAATCTAAACTATACTTAACAGAATAATATAATCCTATAAACCACATCAACTCACTTTTCATAATGGATTCTATGACCCTGTAGATAAATGCACCGTTTTGTAGGAAGCCTCATTTTGTTTTAGATCAGAGTTTTTAAAACTATTAACTTGTAAATCATTAGTAGGTCAGAAAATCCATTTGATGGTTCAAGAACAGGAAGGAAGAAAGAAGGAAGGAAAGAAAAGGATGAATATATGATATAAAGTTAAGGCTATGTACTTGTTTGCTTTATATACTAAACACAGGGTACACACACACACACACACACACACACACACACACGGTTCTATTGCCATGGTCAACAAATTTGCAAGCCACTAATCTAGATCAATCCACCTGGTTAGCCCAGAAATGAGAATCCAAGGCCTAGATCCTAAAGCTGCTTCACCATGGCTGAGAAAAAGCCCCTTTAATCCTGTGTTATTTTGGTTCTTTAAAACAATAAAAACAAGGAAATAATTTTCATTTCCAAATAGCAATGATTCTGTGAGCACGACTAGGTTTTAAAAAGTTGTTTCAGCATTTTGAAAGTTTAACATTGAAGAGAGTAAATGAAGTATCAGCATTATTGATAAAACTGATTGGGAAAACCAAAAACTCTTCATTGATGCTATGTTCATTCCATAAACATCTAATGTATTAAAAAGATCATTTATTTACAAGCCATGGTAAAATTTTCATACAAATTTTACCTTCAAGTTTCATTTACAAACATTCTCAAAGTTACTTTATTTTACTTTGTTATGATTCTCTCTCATGCTATTTAAAGTGGTGACTTGGACTTAAAGGTTTAGAAAAGGCAAATTCAAGTATAAACTTACAGTAGTTTTTAGAAAATAAATAACTACAGAAAAGTACCTTTTGTTCCTAAGAATCATATGACATCCAGTGTTTTAGATTATTTATATCCTATAATAAACCAGTACACTGAGAGCTGCTGCCATCTATACAATCTGCATAACGTCACTAAAACGCTCCTGTGAGAAAAAAAAAAAAAAACCTCCGCAAGGCAATTAAAAAATATATTTTAATAAAAATTTGACTTGCTTGTTAAATGTTGCATTTATGAATGATCAAGATAATCGAGTGTTCCATCCAGGAAGACGACTAAGTAAGATTCACTAACTCAGAAGAGCTTTAATTGTGGTTAAACTGTTGAGAATCATGCATTCATACTGAATTCAACTGAATTCTACAAGACACCACTAAATACACAATGTGCAGCCACATAAAGGGCATTAGCCATTAAAGTCTTTCAAAATCCCTATCTGAAAAATTACTATGAAAATTAAACCAGGTACAGAAGTACAGATTACAAACTGAAATCCCAGGCACTGAGGGAACAATGAAGAGACAAGCACTTCCCTGGCTGAGCACTAGAGAGCGCTCTGAATTACTTCGGTACTTCGGTAGCTAATTAAAGGTAAAGGAAAACCTCCAGCGACGTACGTTGACAACTTCTCACACAGGCACGTGTGGGACTGCTTCTCAGGAGGCTCAACCTTATCCTAGACACTGGTCAGGCAGCACTCATTCCTTCCTACTCGGGCAAAGCATTACAGGTTCAGGAAAGGTGCCCTCTCAAGCAGCTACTTACCTCCACAAAAATGTGAACAAAATGAGGTTTACAAGAAAAAGCTATTCGGTGTAAGAGCGATCTTGGAGATAGAGGCAGTGCAATGGCTCTAAATCTGTCAGTAGCTCTTGACAAAACAAAAAGGAACTGACTAAATCACAGCATGACTCGGAGCTGACGTCAATGTGCAGCTCCCTTGGAGTTTAACTTTTCCACTTCCCTGCTGAAACACGATTCCAGGAAATGTAATGACGTCAGCCCTTTGAACTCAATTAGCAGAGGAACAGACCATTTTAAATACAGGAGGAAAGAAACAAGTAGGCACACAAACATCCACAACCCGCGGGCTTTTCCTATTCTGTTTGGAGCTGCATCTGTACACAAGCAATCAAATCGGAAGCTTTATTTTTGTTTTTTAAACAACTTGAACAGTATGTATTTGTAGGCGGGCAGTATTTGCAACAGGTTGCAGATGAAGTAACAGCTTATTTTAGTAGAGTGGTATAGCAGAGGGGGAGGAGTAAGAGGGGGGAGGAAAATACGAGTTGGAGAGCGAACACCCGCTAGATAGAGAAAGGCAGATTGTTGCCAGGGTAAGTAAGCAGTATAGCTCTAAACTAAGAAGTAATTACACTAAGATTCCTTAGCAGAGCGAGCTGAAGATATTGAGGAAGAAATTAAAAGAAACTACTTACTACTACCTGAGTATCACCACTTCTAGAAACACTCCAGACATGATAATAATTTCTTTTCAAGAACTTAAAAACAAAAATCTGCAGAATTAAGATCCCTCTTTAAAATTCTTACCAGTTTCATCTCCAGTTACAGCCATGATAGGCTTCTGCATACGGAGTTGTCTTGTTTCCCTTATCACGGTTTAACATAAAATGTTCCAACTAGCAAGTATGTACAGGGTAAGTAGGAGGTATTGACATCACAGTGACATCACTAGCCTATCACTGCAATCAATTTTCTCTGTCACACAAGAGCTCACTGAAACCAAAGCCTATAAAAATTCTCAGGACAAACTATTTTAATGTTCTTGTTTCTCACTGTTGCATAGACTCTGTGGAGACTGACTCTGACAAAAATGCCTCATGAGCAATAGGAGTAACATGGCTGTTTCTAATGAGGCTACTTTGTTATTGTTGGGTCTAAGGTTTCTAGGTAAACATCGGAGGAAAAAAACACCACAGATTGTTCATAACTAAGAAGAGGAGATAAAAATGAGATTTAAATGTGG